CTCAGCCCTGCCAGGACCTCTGTGGGCTGTTCCCACCCTGGGCCTGGGCAGGTGGCCCTGGGTCCCTGTGTCCCTTCAGGTGCAGACGGGGCAGGGCCACCAGTTGGGCGGTGACTGCATGACCGCTGCGGGGCCTACCCTGGTGTACTCTCCAGAGAGGAACCCCTGCTGCAGTCCACTGTACATGGGCAGCAGGGTCAGGAGGCACAGGCGCTTGTCCCTGAAGAGCTTGAAGGTTGACAATAAGGTGGAGCCAAGGCGGGGTGGCTTCGTCTCGGCCTCGTTCTGGGATCCACTGTCCTCTGTGGCTTCCAGAAACACGGCGGTCAGCAGGATGGCCAGGACGCCAATCCCTGAAAGGGGCAGAGGGGCAGGGAGCTTCAGTGTGGACAGGACTCACCCAGCCGCTTCCTGCCTTCCCACAGGTCCTCCCAGTCCAGTCGCAGGTGCCGTCAGTCCCACCAGACCTCAGCCAAGCCGGGACCCCACGTGCCCACCACACGGACACACGTGTGGCCCCTGGTCAACGTGGGGCCTCCAGGCTTCCACAGGGAACCTGCCATGGACCTGCACTGTCCTCACGGGCACAGGAGACACTACAGCTGGAGAGAGCCCAGACGCACTCAGGGGCCCCGGCCACCGTCTGCCTGAATTCCTGCAGCCATGTCCAGCGACAGCAGACTTTTTAGGAAAGCAAGTCCCCCCAGGGTACCATGTGCTACACTCTGGTTTATTTTGAATCTTTTGCCTAGAATACTTTGGTGGGAACTGGTTAAATGGAGTGGATCCATCACAGTGGGTCACGTTTGGGGATAAGGACAGAACTCTATTGTCCAGGTGGAAGAGGCCACCAGATCAGTAAAGAGGAGACCAAGCCAGCGCTGAGCCAGGTGCTGACCATGCGCCACCCGCGCTCAGCAAGGGGGACGTGAGGATTTAGTCCCTATGTGCCCTGAAGGCCTGGAGAGAAGCAGACTGGGGCAGAGGGACGGGGCTGAGGGACGGGGCAGAGGGACGGGGCTGAGGGGCTGCACGGCCTTTTATCTGAACCACGCCAACGGGCTGCCGTGTAAACCGCTGTTTCTAACAGGGATGGATCTGCTCCGAGGGAGCATCCTGGAC